AAAGCCCCATTTATCAGTTGCATTTACTATCGTATTATTTTTAATAAGTAATGCCGCTATATCCAAATGTCCATAACTTGAAGCATTATGTAAAGGTATTAAGCCACCCTTATCTTGTGCGTTAACATCCGCTCCTTTTTCTAACAAAAATTCGGCTACCTCTAAGTTGTTATAACCCGCTATATAATCAAAGTTTTAACAAAAATTTATATATTACACATAGTTGAAGATTCTTTCTTTCTTTTTGTTTCTCTTTCTCTTCTATAATCTTCATTGATAGAATATTACAATGAGAAAATGATTTAAAAAAAAAAAAAAAACCTACCAGCAAAATGTAACGGTGTACTGTTCCGACCTTGGGTATCTCTGCAATTGATGTTATCTTGGGTAACCAGCCTTTGCACCCTGGCTAAATTTCCCTTCTTTGCAGCATCCAATAGTGCACTATTTCCACACAATAAATCTGCAACATCTTGGTCTCCTTCTCTTACTAAATCAAGAGGAGTTGCTCCGTCTCGATTTTTTTTCGTTGCATCAGCGCCATGTTTTAATAACAATCGAACGATTTCACATTTACCTTTAGCTGCGGCTTCATGAAGGGGAGTAAATTTCCATAAATCGGCGACATTAACAGATGCCCCATGTTTGATTAACAATTCTATTACTTCATAGTGACCATAAGAACAAGCATTGTGAAGGGGCACCAAACCACTAAGAAAAATTATATTTAAATTATTTATGGATTATAATAATTGACATAGAATTATACTTTGTGCATTAGAATCAAGTTAAGCTTGAATTTTAGACCAAAACAAAATGATATATTTATATATTTATGTATGTATATATATATACCCTTTATCTTTGGCATGTACATCCGCACCATGTGCCAAAAGATATTCGACTACGGGCACTCTATTAAAACCTGCTGCAAAATGCAGAGGAGTAGAGTGTCGACCATCTAAATCACGACAATTTACGGCATGTGGATTCGTTTGTAGGATTCTTTTCACAGCATTCAAATCGCCAGATTTACTCGCTTCCAAAAGTTGCGCTTCTGCATCATCTGTTTCACTTGGTGGATCTGAATACATATATAGAATTAATATTTGAATTAAATTAAATGTGAAAGTATTGAAAATATTTACAAAAAAAAAAAAAAAGAAAAGAAAAGATAATTTACCTTGCAATATTTTAAGAACATTTTCCGCAGCAACTTGAGCCGCAGTATAGCCTTGAAGAGATACAATGGAAGGATTGATGTTGTATGATAATAATATTCTACATGCCTGCACATCGTCCTCTCTAACGCATCTAAGTACATGGATACGTTTTTAGTTTGACAAACTTGGTATTATTTAATTCGGTTAATCTTCACAATTTTTAACGATTAACATTACCTGTGCAATGCAGTTTGTCTTAAGCCATCTAATTCATTGACTTTAGCATTATGTCTAAGTAATATATCCATTGCATCGTAATGCGAATGGTCGGTAGCTACATGAAGTGGCGTAAGGAAGTCTTTATTTTTCTCATTCATGGCAGCATTTTTTCTAATCAAAATTTCGATTATTTGTTTTCGTTTTGGATAAGGCGATGCGACTGCACAATGCAGCGGCGTATCTCCGGTATACGGATGTTTAAAATTGACAACATCCTGAGATAAATATTTTTTTAATTTAGTTGGATCAGCCTGCCTGCAGGCATCCAATAAACAATGGCCTTTATATTCGTCTGAAATGACAAATGAAATAAATACACACATTCCACATTTGAAATGATATATATATAATACAAATATTATACTTACAAGCTAATCTTTCTTGTAATTCTACGGTTGGTGCTACATCAATGGCGCTCTTACTGTGGCAATTTAATTGAGTTGGATCTGCACCCTCACTTAATAGTAAAGAACACACTTCTGCTCTGGACTTGCTAGCAGCTTCATGCAACGGAGTGAATGCCCATAAATCACTGGCGTTTACAGCAGCTCCATGTTTAAGAAGTGCTTCCGTTACTTCAAAATGTCCATAAGAACATGCATTGTGCAACGGAACGAGTCCTCTGTCGAATAAACATCTGTGCGTTTATTTATTGAATATAGTTAAATGTAAACTATAATTATTGTCATCTTGTTCACTTACCCTTTATCCTTTGCATGTACATCTGCACCATTTTGAAGAAGAATTTGTACAACTCTAGATCTATTATATCCAGCTGCTAAATGCAATGGTGTAGATCTTCGTCCATCGCTAGCATGACAATTAACATTAAGAGGATTTAATAGTTGTAACAATCTTTCTTCATTGCCTGATCTTGCTGCTTCTAAAAGTTCATCTTTCCTATATTCTCCAGTTAAAACTGGCTTAGTAGCAGCATCTGCTAATTCCAATGCAGTCTTTCCTTCCGCATTTCTAATATTTGCATCTGCCCCATGTTGCAATAGCACTATGCATACGTCTATCTTACCCTTGAAAAAAAAAATAATATTATTATAACTATCATTTGACATTACTTCCTTTATTCAATTATAAATGTATTATCTTAAGAATCATACTTTAATGGCAGCTTCGTGTAATGGTGTATAATTCCAATTATCTCTCGTATTAGGATTAGCTCCTGCTTCCAAAAGCAATCTCACGACATCGGAATGTCCAAATGAGCACGCGTTGTGCAGAGGATGTAAACCTCCATCGTCACGTGCTTGAATGGATGCACCAGCGGAGAGAAGAAATTCAACAACATCTATTCTGCCATAGCCTATATTATAGACACAATATCACAAATTAAAATTAGAATAATAAAATGAAAAAAAAAAAATAGATAAATTAAAATATATATTTTAGATTTTCATGTAGAGATGTATGAAAAATTCAATGGATTTTTTTTCTTTTTTTTTTTTTTTTTTCTTAACAATCATTCTTCTTTGAAATGTGCTTACTGTAAAAATAGAATTAGCATAGAAAAGCAACAAAAGAAAAAAAACAAACAAAAACAACGTAGACAGTTATAATATAAAAAAATAAAAAAGCATAATAAAAGGTTTAATCATAAATCATATGGAGATTTTTTAGTTGTCTACAATGTTTCTCAATGATGTGTTGTTATTTGTTAAAAAAGTGAATTATTGAAAGAAAGGGTCACTCATGTTCATATATGTGCAAGATATGAAGCTCACCAGCTGCAAAGTGCAGTGGAGTTGCCTTGCGTCCAGCGGTATCTCGTGCATTGACTGTCTTTGGTGTAACCAACGCCTTAACTCTGCTAAGATCGCCAGTTTTGCAAGCTTCGAATAGCTCTCTTAAAGGATCAGCATTACCTGATCCCGATAAGGATTCAACATTGCTTAAAGTTGATCTACGTCCTGCCATTTTATTCCGCCATTTTCACGCCATCGTCCGAATTCGGAGGCATTTTATAATATATAAGAATAAGCTTTCACACGACACACACAACAAAGAACAACAGCCACGACGACGTATACACGACGACGACGACGACAACGCACGAAGACGACACGACGACGATGTACTACGAACGACGACGACAACACACGACGACGTGATACGAACGTAATGAACAACGAGATGAGTTGCTATACTGAACGTTCGTTCAGTGGCGCCGCCGTTTATGTACACAATCGATAAGCGTTAATTATCACTCGTTTGCCATTCTTCTTCGATCATACCAAAACATTTGTACAAATTTTCATTTGTCAATGGATACGCCTATGCATGTGTGTGACGCGACACGCATACATTCTACCACTAACAAACTACTCCAAAAATCACATTGCATTTTTTGTTTTTTTTTTAAACAATTCCATATATTTATTCACTACATTTATTTGATTTTAGAATATTCGTTGTTTTATTATTTATTTAAATATTAGAACACTATTTATGAATGTTATATTTTTTATATTAAGATCAACTAAATATACGCGGTATTTTCTTTAATATCATTGAGATAAAGTTGGCAACACTGAAAGACAGCTGATTTTGAAAGATCTTTAATTGCAAATATGCGATGGTATTTTTTTTAGAGGTTATTTTATGAGACAATATAATTATCAGCTTTGCTAAGAATTATACATATGATTAGGTAATATTATGAAAACATTTAAATAATAAAAATAGTTTAAACACATTAAAAAATCTTCCCGTTGAATGATTCGTTAAAAAAGGAATCAACTATTACCGACACAACAATAAAAGTAAAAATTATTTATTACCGACATGTCGGCAAAGAGGAAATCTGTAAAACTAAATTTTGGAAAAAGTGCAATTGCACTATGCAACTCAGACTTTTAAACATCCATGAAATACATCCATTTAATAAAATCCTTGGTACTACTGTGATTAATATACTCCTGCAAGAATTTAAACTATTTGATGATTGAACTCGTTTAATAAGCAAAAATTGATTTCTATCATTTTTGTCCATTTATAAAATAAACAAAATTATATAATCAGATCCAATTACTAGATATTATATTATAATTAATATTTATATTATAATAATTATTATATTATAAAGGGGAAAGAAAATAACATAGATATGCAATTATGTTCATGTGAAATTGGTATAAATATTGTATTATCTGGTCTGTAAACAAATTTTTCAAATTTCTTTGGTCATCCTGATAAGAAAATTACCAATGAGTCTTTAAATATTTTCATTATCGTGATATATTACATATTTGTTTACACGTTTGTTTCAATACTTTATTGAGAATTCTGATGAATGATATTGCACAGCTGGCGCAATTGATTCTCATTATAGACAAATAAGAAATTCATTAATAATTCAAAGTTTTCCAATCTTATAAATATATCTGTTTTTTTTTTTTTTTTTTATAAATATTATCTTCTGGTCATTGTAAAAACACATTATCAATATCTATGTTTTTTCAAATGATTTAATCTTATCGTTTCTTATCTCTTTTTTAGAGTAAATTATTATCTATATAACGAATAATACTACAAATGAATCATAAATTCATTAAAAAAAGGTGAGAAAATAATAGGAAAAGAACTTGACTTCTCAAAACTAATATGTTTTTGAATTAGTTCTTAAACATTAATCATGGAGGTACATCGTTAACAACTGTTTTCTGTTTTTCTCGATTCATCTTGTTGCAATCGTCTTTTATAATTCATTCTAATCATTCAACGAAAAGCTGTTAAATCTTGGAAAAAAAGAAAAGTCTGGAAAACAATAGCTCGAAAAGTTTATCAGATTCTAAATACTCGTTTGCAGATAATCCTGTAAGAAAATGACACATGTAAAATTTCTTTGCTTAGGAGAGTCATTTTACAATGTTTCTAATCAAGATGATAAGTTGAAAATAAATGAAAGGAATTTTTTATATTTCGTATATTTACAGTTAGTATTGCCACGATAAATCCATAATTCTACGTATCGTATATATCAGATATAATGATAACTGTTATTTGGTATATAAATAGTAGCAGGATATAAACTTCAGTCTAACGTATCTGGTTTCTTCCAAGTAAATACCTGTACTCGTAAGTATCAAAAGCAACTTTCACACATTGAGATCATTTTTTAAATTAATATATTCAAAGTTTCATTTGTATTTTTTTCTATATCTATCTATCTCTTTTTTCTTTCTCTTTTGATTATATATCAAATATAAATTTGAAGATAGATATTTTACAAAGTTGATCACATTTGTTGTCCATTTTGTATTCTTTCGTAGAAATTTATTAATCTTTTGCAGTTATAACTTTTTGGTTTTTTTTTAAATATCTACCAACTATTTTGAGTATAATTTAAAAAAAAAAAAAAAAATTTCATTCAAGTCCAAATTATTATATTAGTAGTTTTAATTACATTTTGTATTAGAGATTATAATTTATACGTATGGATTAAAAAAATAACTTTTCTGGTCATTTTCTTTTTTATGCTTGTCATGCATTTATTACTCATAACTTTATTAATATAATTATTATTATAAATAGGAGGAAAATATTTTCATTATTTGAATTTCTGTTGCAATGCCATTTGTTGTTTGTTGATATTCAAATACAAAAGATTAATAAATAAATTGTCAATCGTTTGTCGATAGAAAAATATATTTATTGTATATGAAAATAATATAAGAAAAATAATCATCGAAAAAGTACACACCGATTTTAATAATTAATAATAACAATAAAAATACGAATGAAATGATTTCAATTACAAGAGACAGTACTAATTGATGATTTATTTTTTCAGATATACAGGGTGTCTCTTCTAACAAAATTTTAACTTTTGATCGGTATAGGACTTGATATATTATAAAATGAATTTACAATAATATAAATATAAACAAACTTTGAAGGCTTTTTACTTGGAATCTACTATGAAATTTGTTAAAATAATTAAATCCAAGAGTAGCTTAAAAGTAAACTACTTATAATATATCAAGTCTTATACCGATCAAAAGTTATTATCAAGAACAGAAAAATATAAAAAAAAAAAACAAAAAAAACGGTGCGTACCATAATAAATTTGGGTTTTTTTTTTTTTATCGACAAACAATCATGATCATTAAATATATGATGAGATAACATCAAATAAATGTTTATATCTTATCACATAAGATTTAACTTTTGCGACTTAACTTTTAGTAAAGTGTTTATTTGTTTGTATTTTATTTTATTTTATTTTATTTTTTAGAGATACGCGTTATTATAATTTTTAGTAGAAATATCTAATAAAAATTAAAGATACTTAGCAAAAGATTGTTTTTAATTTTTCTCAGTTTTGTAATACGCGCGCTGACGCATGCGCATTAGTATTGAATTTTAAATTGCGTTTATAATTAGATTTCTGAACTTTTTAACCTTACTGTAACAAAATGGCAGGCATCAAGTTATAAGTGTTTACATTTCTTATTCTTTCTTTACTTCTTCCTAATTATCTATCTGCTCTATTTCCATTGCATTTAATTCAGTTATTTAAATCAAATATTCTACTTTCGTTTGGTGCATCAGTGTCTATCAGTAAAAGTACGTTTGTATATAATAATAGTGAAATATTGTGACTACAAAAATGCAAGAAGCATATATCGGAATGGCTGACGTTTCATTCGTGTCGCTTTATAATAAATAAATATATAAAGTTATGCGTATTTGTTTCGACTTCTATTTGTATTCCTGAACTTTTTTAATTAAATGGCTATATGGAAATGGCGGGTATTGCATTATAAATATCTCTATTTGTAAACATACATATTCATTTTATTTTAGTCTTCATTATATTTTCATTGCATTCAATTCAATCATTTTCTTTTTCTTCTGATTATTTGTGTACATTAATCATATAAGTTTTATCCACAATATTGAAATATTGTGAAAGGAATACAAGTATGACGTCGTATCAAGAACGTATTAATTTCTTTATTAATGGCTTTAAAGATTAGTAAATAAAGCGAATTATGACTGTATTTTAATTATAATTTGTTGATTGATGAGGGATAATACTTTTTTTTTTTTCACTTTATATTTTCATCAATCGATTCAATATAATAAGAAATAATAATCTACCTATTGTCGTCTCGTCCAAGCAGGCGCACCTTTTTCTTTTTATCAGATCAGATATTCTTATCGTATAAACTTATCAATTTATTTGACTATTGTTTTATGATATCGACCTAATAATTTACGATATCTATCTTTCATTGTTCGTTAAAATGATACATCTGTTGTTACTAAACATATTTTCACATGGATCCTTTGATGTACTTCAAATTATTATCGTATTATTATTTTCAAAATGTCATTATTCGCTTTAATTATCATTTATCACCATTATTATTTTCATTATTATTAATATACATTTGATTTATTTGTTACTTTATTTTGTTTATTTATTGATTTTTTGTTGTTTTGTTTTTTCTTTTTTTGATACAGATTTGACAAAATTTGAATAACAGTTTTTAAAGGATATTATAAACAATTCATTAATAAGGATGTTAACCTTAAACAAAAATGATACCAACTGTTTTCTACAACTTAAAGCACCGCAGAATTTGAAACCACCACCAACACCACCTCCATTTATTCTAAACAAACAAGAGAATAAAGTTGATAATCAGGATTATAGATTTGAAACGAACAGATTACAAACTTTTGAAGATTGGCCAGTGAATTTTATGGATCCTAAAGATCTTGCAGCAGCTGGTTTTTATTATTTGCATTCAGAAGACAAAGTAAGATGTTTCGAATGTAAGATAGAAGTATATAATTGGGAAGAAGGAGATGTACCTATGAAAGATCATAAACTTCATTCACCAAGATGTCGATTTGTTAGAAACATTCCATGCGGCAATGTACCCATTGGTGTTGATCCTGACACTGTACCATTACCAACCCCTCGTGAAAATGACGTTTGTGGATTATATGAGATAGGAGGTCAACCATCAAATCAAACGTATAGTACAGAATTATCCCGTCTACTGCTTCCGTCAGACGCCAAGTTGAGATCTTTAGGTGTTCACAAACCGAAACAACCAATATATCACAAATATGCTAATTTAGAATTAAGAATAGCTTCTTTTGATACATGGCCTAAACCGATGATATCTAGTAAAAAATTGGCAGAAGCTGGTTTTTTCTATACAGGAGAAGAAGATCAAACAATGTGTTTTCATTGCGGTGTAGGTTTAAAAGATTGGGAACCAAATGACGATCCATGGTTTGAACATTTTAAATGGTTTCCAAAATGTCATTTTCTTTTAATGTTCAAAGGTAAAGAATATGCAGATGTAGATGGACAATATATTAAATTATCAGAGGTAATTTAATTTCTTGTTCTTTGTTTTAACTGTATCTTATATTTTACATAAGAAATATTTCATTTAAACTGTTCTTTTTTTCTTTTTTTTCATTATTATTTAGGAAACAAGACAAACTCCATTAGAGGAGGTTTTTGAAGGTATAAACCTTGAAAGCAATAGTGATTCAAATACTATCTCAGAAAACAATGTTGCAGGCAGTTCGTCAAGTTTCGTTAGCTCTGCAGTAGCAAAAGAACATGACTTAGTTTCAAAACAATTAAGTAAGCCTATAGATGATGGAAGATTATGTAAAATCTGTTTCAATGCAGAAATGGGAGTAGTTTTTTTACCTTGCCAACACATGGTTGCATGTGGAAATTGTGCATCTGTAATAACAAATTGTGCTGTTTGCCGACAACCTATAGATCTAATTATGCGGGTAATAATGTCATAGGACAAGAAAAACTAACAATAATTATTGTCATTTTTTCCATTTCAATCTTTACAATTTCTTGTTTAATCCTCCAACCGCAGGCAACGTGAAATTCGAAATAATTTGTAAAATTTAACGAGTCAATGCTATTATCGCGTCGACCTTTTTATTTTTACAAATTAAAAAAAAAATAGCTTGCGGTTGGGGGAATTTAATAATGTAACAAATAAAACAAACTTTCACTTATTTCACTTTCATGATTATATAAAGTGAAATAAATTCATTTATAAATCACTAATAAATAACAAAACAAAACAAAAAAAAACTAATAAATAAAACAGTGAAAAACAAAATGTTAGAATATTTTTCTAACTTGTCTATATTTTTTTTATTGTTATTATAAAAATCTTTATATATTATATATACAAATTTGATTTTGTCACATTTTGTTAGTTTCTCATATAAACTTTATATTTTGTTGTGTATTATCATTTGATATATTTTATTTTAATTGTGATATTATTTTATGTGTGTACATTAAATAGTTTGGAATTATATTAAATTATAATGTTTTATATATAATAAAAGCTCTACAATTCGTTATATTATATAAAGTATAATATAATAAATATAATGTACGATCCGGAATGATCGTACGGCAACTAGACGAATATCGAACAACTACAAGTTCTAACGATAGTCACCCCTACGAAATAGTAATAATAATAATAATAATAAAATTCAGTCAGATAAAAGTAATGGTTATTGTATTTTGTCAATAATTATTTACAATAGAAAGTTAAAAAAATAAATAGTATAATACTAATACTAATAGTCATGGAGACTACATAAGGAGCACGAACTAATATCTTTCGTACTTTCAAAAACAGGGGGTTTTTTTTACATTCAATTTCCGTCTTCGTATAAGATCAGTTGCATTTCCATTATTGCAATTTTTAACTGCACACACCCTGCCCATTGTTATATTTATAATTTTTTATTAATCTTATTTTTAATATTTTATTTTTGTTATTATATACAAGTATTAGGATTAAGAACTATTTGTTCACTTTACGCATCGGTACGTTATATTTAAAACAGTACAAAAGGAACATTAGCGACACTAGTGGTGAATCAAGAAAACTTAAATAGACGATTTGTGTGACAGATTTTGCCAATTAATACGTTTGAGTTCGTGCAGTCAGCAATCCCATTCGTACGATAATTTTACGCCCTTGTGTCGATCAGACGAACTAAAATCTGTGGGATCAATGGTTTTTGGTGACTACCAAAAACTTCTTGTCTCGATAGTTTAAGGTTATAAAGACAAAGATTAGATAGCTTAGTTCTCGTGCTTACTCTATGATTCAGTAAATAATAGTGAAACTTACTTATACTAATAATATTATATAAATTATTATATATTAATCGATATTAATTATAATAATTTGTATTACTTATTATACGTATTATATCGCTAGATTTCGGGAAGAGTAGTTTTTGAGGTTATCTTAGTTCAGATCTTG